TTTTTTTTTTTTTTTGGAAAAAATTTCTACGGAAAATCAACCAACGGCCAGAGACGTAACAATACTTTACATTAGGGATTTGCTTGGAGACGGCTTGAATGGGTAATGAAGAAAAACTTTAATATGAGTTTAACATAACAGCAAATGTACAACGTTTCGACAAGGTTTTGTCATCATTTGTACATTTCCTGTTATGTTAAACTTATATTAAAGTTTTTCTTCATTACCCATTCAAGCAGTCTCCGAGCATTATTAGACTCAAAGTGGGTTCCTCGTGATCGAATTAGTATCACAGTGATTATAGCACTCGACTATAAGGTGGAGGTCTTGAGTTCAAATTCCAGTGAAGTCGAAAGTTTATGCTATATATTATTATATATATTTATATATATAATATATTATATTATTATATATATTTCCTTTCATATTTTTATCACATTGATAAGAAGTTCTTTGAATATTCGGAAAAATATACGAAAGCACTTACAGATTGAATAAGGGATAACAAAAGCTAATATGTATAGCAGCCAGTTGTCTTTTGGTAACCCTCTGTTTGTCTGTGTTATTAGCAACGAAACTATATATATATATATATATATATATATATTAGCTTCGAATTCAAAGATGCAGAAAACTATATTAGCTGTATAGATCACGTCAGCTTAAGTGGACGAAAACTATCTTTAATGTGTAGGTCAAATGAACTTACAGAAGTAAAAACTACCTTAACTGTATAGGTCAAATGAACTTACAGAAGTAACAACTATTTTAACTTTATAGGTCAAATGAACTTACTGAAGTAAAAACTACCTTAACTGTATAGGTCAAATGAACTTACAGAAGTAAAAACTACCTTAACTGTATAGATCACATCAGCTTAAGGGGACAAAAAATGATCTTTAATGTATAGGTCAAATAAACTTACAGAAGTAAAAACTACCTTAACTGTATAGATCACATCAGCTTAAGGGGACAAAAATGATCTTTAATGTATAGGTCAAATAAACTTACAGAAGTAAAAACTACTTTAACTGTATAGATCACATCAGCTTAAGGGGACAAAAATGATCTTTAATGTATAGGTCAAATGAACTTACAGAAGTAAAAACTACCTTAACTGTATAGATCACATCAGCTTAAGGGGACAAAAATGATCTTTAATGTATAGGTCAAATAAACTTACAGAAGTAAAAACTACCTTAACTGTATAGATCACATCAGCTTAAGGGGACAAAAATGATCTTTAACTATAGGTCAAATGAACTTACAGATATAAAAACTACCTTAACTGTATAGGTCAAATGAACTTACAGAAGTAAAGACTACCTTAACTGTATACGTCACATCAGCTTTGTGGATCTACTAAAACTTCTACTTGAAAAAGACAACTTCAGGAAACAGATAAATCGGGTATACTTCAATAATTTATTCTGGGACGTTTTGCGGCAAGGTTTGGATGATAAAATTATGTTAGTAAGGTCATGGAGTTCTACTGCCTAGAGCTGTTTATTAGTATTCCGGATAAACGGTCTAATATATATAGAAACCAGTTGTCATTTTGTGTGTGTGTGTAACGTTCACATTATTTGTCATTTCTTTTTTAAGTTTGCACCATTCTTATTTTCTTGTTTTTCTTTCATGATGAAGAGGGAAGTTTAGTGAACAAAGCTAGTTGAAAGAAAAGCGAGACTCCCCCCTCCCCCCGAAGGGTTACAAAATTCCAACACGTCATTTTGTAAGTGGTCAGGCAAAGTTATTACATAATAAACAGGAGTGACTGTAGATGTCAAAAACAACTTAAATACATTTTCAATGCAATAGATGGCGTTACAATACATTGTTATTGACATTTTTCGCCTTCTATAAGCGATTTTTAAACATTTAGTCAAAATATTCATAAGCATTTTTAGTGAACAGTTACACCTTCGTGAATTTGTACTTCACCTTAAAGTTCATTGCTTTTACCATCACAATTAAAAAATCGCGGGGTCAGACATTTGATGATGTAAGAATATTTCTTCGAGAACCATTTTTTCGGATGGTTCAATCTATAAGGCTTTTTCAAAAAGAAGATTTGACCAGAACATAAACAATATACATAATTCAAAGTTATAATCAAGGAGAACTTACTGGAGATGACCAAATATACACAAAAAAATTTATTTTCGTCAAATATTAGAAAAAGGGTAGAAAAAAGGAAAAAAAATCAGTCAGCATTTACAGTCGTATGACGAGCATTCAACTAGTCTACTGTGTTGTTATATTTATTGTGACACTATTTAGCATGGTATACAAAAACCCATTTTACTGTTGTATGAATTCCATCAATGTATTTTTGATTGCCTCGACTAAGGGATTTGTTTCTGTTTCCTGTGTGTTTGTTGGTTGACTTACGGTGATTTGTTGTTTCTGAATGTGTTCTGTTGGCATTTGTGTTCTTGCTGCCTGTGCGTACGTGTTATTTGTAGTCTGTACAGGTGTTTTTGTGTTACTGGTGTAAGTAATAATGTATTACAAGTGATGTTAGGTTTTGAATTTCGTGTACCTGTTTGTGTTGGTTGATTGTTATGACAAGTAGGTGCTTACCGGTGTTTGAATTTAGGGCCTCTACCTCATGCATCTTATTTTGTTCTGTAGGTGCCACTAGCTGTTACTATGCTATGAGTGTTTGACGTTATTTCTTATTATTGTTTGTTGGTGGTGCAAGTTATATTCTTCAGATGTTCAAAAGTGTGTGTGTTTTAATAGTAAAACCATATCAGGCTCTCTTCTGTGCCCACTGAGGGGAATCGAACCCCTGATTTTAGCGTTGTAAATCCGTAAACCTACTACTGTCCCACTGGATTACATATCCAAGAGACGTGCGTTTGTTTTATAGAATATATGTAAATTATATGATATTAGCAAACGGTGGGCTGTTGACCTACTTATACAGTTACACCTTTCGTTACATTGATGATTTAATTTCCATCAATAATTTAACTTTTGAACCAAATCAAATATATCCAAAATACCTTACAATACAAAGAACCAATAACAGATATTGTTACGTCGTTAGTTAATTTCCCGTATAATTTCTTTCCGATGAAACTTAAGCGACACAAGTCCTTTCTTAAATAAAACTAGTTTATTCTTTCTCAATACAACTTTGCAATACACTTAATTTCCACAGTCACGCTATAACGT